TAATAGCATGTCGGAAAAGCAAACAAAAAAACGGAAGGTTGCGGATGAGCACAGGCATTCCCAAGAAAAGTGGAAATTTGATTATTTTTTCATTTTTTTGAAGATAAAGCTGTATGCTTAATATGCTCAGAGACTGTGTTGACATTAAAAGAATATAACATAAAAAGGCATTATGATACAAAACCTGAACAACAATATAAAAACTTAACAGGACAACTCCGGATAGATAAGTTTAATCAAATGGAGAAAAACTTGGGAAAACAACAGGCTATTTTTAAAAATCAAGCTATTTTATCAAATACGGCAGTAAAGGCTAGTTTTGTTGTCAGTCAAATACTGGCAAAAAAAATGAAACCCTTTGCGGATGGAGAGATGATAAAAGAATGTCTGACTGCTGTTGCAGAAATAGCATTTCCTGATAAAATAAATATTATTTCAAACATTAGTTTATCAAGATTCACCATTGCAAGGAGAATTGAAGACTTGTCCGAGAACATAGCAACAACGCTTCGTGAACGCATTGCAAAATTCGAATACTGTTCTTTGGCACTTGATGAGAGTTGCGATATTAGCGATACAGCACAACTGGCTATATTTTTACGTGGTATTGACACCAAATTTAATATTACTGAAGAATTCTGTTCACTGATTCCAATGCAAGGGACTACAACCGGCAAAGACCTGTACGATGAACTAAAGTCTGTGTTGGAAAATTTTTCAATTTCATTAGAAAAGGTTATTGGTATATCGACAGATGGAACACGAGCAATGTCAAGCATGGAGGTAGGAGTATCGGGAAGGCTATTTCGAGACATTAAGAAGGTCACAGGAAGGGAAATATTCGTTAACCACTGCATAATTCACCAGGAAAATTTGTGTGCAAAAAGATTGAGTTTGCCAAATGTCACAGTACCAATAATTAAACTAATCAATTTTATAAAGTCACGCGCGTTAAATCACTGTGAAATTAAAGAATTCCTGAAAGATTTAGAAACTGAATATGGCGACGTGGTTTTTAATACTGAAGTACGTTGGCTTAGTAGAGGTGCAATGCTAAAAAGAGTATACAACTTAAAAAGCGAAATACAATTGTTCTTGGATATGAAGGGATACGCCTTTCCTCATTTTGGTAATAAAGAATGGCTGTGTGATTTTGGGTTTCTTATCGACATGACTCAGCATCTCAATGATCTTAATATGGAACTTCAAGGCAAAGGACAGTTTATTCACAATTTGTATGCAGGGTTCCTACACACCTGGAAAATCAGGGAAAGTCAGGGATTTTCATTAGTGTTTGGAAAAAGTCAGGGAATTTGTCGAAAATTGTCAAAAAGTCAGGGAATTTGTCAAAAATTGTCAAAAAGTCAGAGAATTTGTCTCCTTAACTGCATTGTTGATCTCGTTTGCTGAATATGGATGACCAATCACAGCCATCTGCAGGCGGCAAGAAGTAATGCTGCAATCTTTAAAACCCAAGATAACTCGGGCAAGTTCCATAGCGTTACATAAAACTCGGGCATTTGGGNATTATTATTTTTTTTTTTTTATTATGTATTTTTTGTTTATGGATATGTTTAAAAATAAAACTAAAAAATTTTCAAATTTCAGTTTTTTCTAGAAAACACTCAATAGCATTTTCCATTCCCAGGAAATCCAAAGTCAGAAATTTTCAGAAACCATAATTGATAAATAAAATCACTCTAGGAACATTTATTGTCTTGTATTTCCCATACCCAGAAACACACATTTATGAATACAACTTATCACTTGTGCTTGAGTTGAGCAGAAAATGTCAGATTCTTTGTTATGTTAGGTGGTCATAGATCAGTCACAGTTGCAGCAGTGATGAGATATCATTTACATTTCTTGCTCTATTGCATAGTCTGAGAAAGACTATATAAAGAGCAGAACAAAATTTTCTTTTGTTCTGACCCAGTACATACTGAGCTGTTAAAAAGTTGCAGTCTTATGCAAACACAGACTTTTGCAATAAATTTGCATAAATGAATAATACAGTAGAGCGTCGTTTATCCGAAAGCTGGTTATCCGAAACGTCTGTTATCCAAAAGCATTCCAGTCAGCAAATTTAAATTTTCGCTAGTGCAGTGGCGCTGCAATCTTCGACTATTTCTTGGGTTACTGAAATATTTTACGTTTTTGATACTAAATTAACATCCGAAGTATAATTTTTTATTGTTTTTATATTTTTCAATAAATTTATTTTGTTTGTACAAAATAAAAAAATAATTTTTAACGATACAATAGTCTTCGTTAGGCTTAACATCGACGAAAATTCAACGCGAAGCGACACGNTGCTAAAAAACCAACCGGTCTTGGTTGTCCATATGGCGGTCTCATTCTTGCAGTATCCCAAAAACTAGGTTGTTTGGAATTGTTGTTTAAATCCAATGATTTGATAGTAATTAGATTTAATTGTTGGAAAAATTTTTGTTCACTTAGCTATAGTTTGATAATTGTTCTTGTTTATTTGAGAATAGATCTTTGTGATGTACTGTTAGCTAAAATGGAAGATTTATTTGTTGAGGAATTTTTCTGAGGATGACAGTTATTTTGGGAGATGCGAATACTAGAATAGGCAAGGAACTGGATAATTTTTATGCCAGGAGTAATATTAATTTTTTAAATTCCCAAAGATCTAATGATTTAATATTAATTAATTGTAAAAATCCTTTTCATCTTTGATTTAAGTCATAGGGATTATATATTTTAAACGGTCGATGTATCTCAGATTCCTGTAATATGCTTCTTGTCTAGTCTTGTGTCAATTATACTAGCATTATGACGGCTTTTCCTTTTTTGCTAGACTTATTACACCATGGTAATAATTCTAGCGAATAAGTCTAGTGAAAAAGGAAAAGCCATCATAGTGCTAGTAAAAGTGTCTCAGACTATCTGGCTAAATTTACTTTTCTCTCGACAGTCAGTTTACTGTTATTAAATTAAATCTGTAACAGATATAATTTATCTAATAAATTTGCCTTTTAGATTTTAAACTTGTTGATATTTTTAATTCTTATCATTTTCCAATTTTCAACATCGTTTGGATTTATAATGAATAATGTTTTTACTCTGAAACTTCCAAAAATTCATAATATATGAAAACAAGAAAGATAAATAATTATTTAATTTCTGATTAGTTTGCTATATATTTTAGTTAAAGGGACCTTTCTGTTGGATTCACAGAGTTACTATGATAAACTATTGAAGACTTTGTTAACTTCGGTTTTACAATGTGGAATGGTTAAGAAAAATATTTCTTTATTGTCATTTGAGAAATAATGGTTTGATCGTCAGTATTTATGCTTAAAGAAAACAAAAAACTGAGTATTACGAAAGTATACTCAGTTCTTTGTTTAGAATAGATTTCTAGTTTTGTAGAAATAAAACTATAAATCTATTGGACAAATACTGCAAATTAAATAAAAGCTATAAGTTGCTAAGTAAGGCAAAGAAAAAGTTATTTTTAGCTAAAATAAACTCATTACTATTGAAGACTAAAAATACTAGAGATTTTTGGTTATTAGTTAATAAATTTTGAATTAAGAAACCATATGAAAATGCTATGTCTCCCTTGAATTGGTTGAATTATTTGATAGAGTATTTCATTGGACCAAATACAGTAATTTATATTGATTTAAGCTTTGGTAATAATGTTTCTCTTTTGGATGATCCTATCACTTTGAGTGAATTGGAAACGGTAATCAGAAAATTAAAATTATCTAAGGCCCCCAGGTCTTGATAACATAAGGCTTGAAATGATGAAATACTATTAGATATATTGGATATGTTTCATTTCTTTTTGGACTAATTGCTCTTTTCCTTTATCTTGGAAACAAATTGCTTTAAGGATGATTTATAAGAGGGGAAGTAGGCAAATAGCAATTGGTCTATGATTAGTTGACTTAATTTGTGTATTTAAAAAGGTTTTTTCAACTATTATGGCAAATTGTGTCTGAAATTGGATTGAATGAGTTTAATATTGTTACACCTCTTCAAGGAGCATTTGTTAAAAATAGAGGCAAATATAAATTTGTTTATTTTAGTTGGTCTTATTCAAATATCACTTTTGAAGAAATGAGGGAAATTATATACAGTAGAGCGTCGTTTATCCGAAAGCTGGTTATCCGAAAGCATTCCAGTCGGCAAATTTAAATTTTCGCCAGTGCTGTTGCGCTGCAATCTTCGGCTATTTCTCGGGCTACTCAAATATTTTACGTTTTTGATACTAAATTAACATCTGAAGTATAATTTTTTATTGTTTTTATATTTTTCAATAAATTTATTTTGTTTGTACAAAATAAAAAAATAATTTTTAACGATACAATAGTCTTCGTTAGGCTTAACATCAACGAAAATTCAACGCAAAGCGACACGCAACAGAGAAAAATTTCAACATGGGATAAATTAATATATTTTTTCGTACATGATTCGTTATCCGAAAAATAAGTTATCCGAATCACCCCAGTCCCCAATTGATTCAGATAAACGACGCTCTACTGTACAAACAAGTAGTTTGCCAAACTAAAAATGTTTCAGGAAACTATTTTGCTGAACTGGTGTGAATCAATTGAATCTCACTACTGGTGTGATTTCATTATATGTTTTTATGATGAGCTACCACTGTTTTCACAATTTAGTCCTAATCTACTAGTGGCCTATTGTTTGGGGTCATCTTACATGGCATATACTGTATAGGTTTAAACTAAAATTTTGAGCTTAAAATCTTGAGATTGACCTATATGCCAGCATATTAAATACTATATTATTTTTATTTATAATTATACTTATTATAATTACATATTAATTTTGAAATTATTTCAAATATTACATAAATATTCAGAATAATATTTAAGTGAAAAGATGCTCTTGCTGCTTAAGTGAAAAATATAAAGAATTATTAAATAGAAAAAAATAATTTATATAATGAAAATATATATTAATAAGTTATTTTTACAAATTTATTTATTTTTTTTTTCTAGATTTAATAATCATTTAGTATTGAATGAAAGGTATCTTTTGTTAACATTATTAGGAAAGGGAGGCTTTAGTGAAGTTCATAAGGTAAGTTTAAATCCATTTATATTCTGCAAATAATTTTTTTCTTTCTTACAAATATATATAATTTGAAATAAAATAATTAAAATTAATTTCCTCATATTAGCTTTTTCCTTGTTGTGTTACAACAGGTTTTATATTTCAGAATGATTTTCTTTTTTTAAATCAATAAACTAAACCTTAATATTTATTTTCGATTATCCAGTTTTCCATCTGTTTAAATCTTTTCTTTGTTTTTTCTAAACATTTGTTTAATTAAAAAAGTTCTTATTTAAGTAAGTAAAAACGATGAACTTTATCTGAAATTTTTTTGTTAAACTTGTAATCAGTGGTGATATTCAGCGGGTTTGCACAGGTTTGGCCGAACCCATTGTTAACATTTTCAAAGTTTTCCGAACCCGTTGTTAAACACACATAACATTTCTCAGTGATTTAGTTTCTTTTAAAAAATANACAAAAATTTTATCTCCACCTGAAAAAGGATTCTACAGCCAAAATATACTGCTTCCGCTAAGTGATCACAGACATCTCGACAACCATCATTGCCAGAAGCTACCTACCTCTCCGTAGTCGATGTGCCGCCTTTTATTTAACGTTTAGTGCAGCTCTGCACTGTCTTAATTTACATACATTTGCGTGACAGGATCAGGCACGGATGCAAACTAAGTTTGCTTTTCTTTCTTTGCCACCTGTGCTTAGGAGTTTGTCCTTAAGTAAAAAGAACCCCAAAAAGAAAAATAATCAAATAAAAATAACGCCCCGAAACATAAAATAACAATCGGACATTGACTCCTTTACAAACTTCTGCCTTTTTTTATAAGGCCATCTATAGGTTGTTTAATCATCACTTAAATTTTTTCAACAGTCAGTCAGGTACAATACTAAACCAAAAAGAAGTTAGTGCAGTGTATCAAAATAATCATTATTTTTAATGTAAAATTATTAATCAAGTATTTTTATGAATTTTCACAGTACATTAAAAATATTATTGCTAGCATAACTAATTTTTTGAAATCGGAAGTCGAGAGGGTTCTATCAGTGTGTAGGTTTTTGAAATTGGATACTTCGTTGAAAAGTTATGATGTCTGGAAACATATTCGAACTTAGTGATAAATTTCTAATTATGTCGGCAGACAGCCTGGTGGGCTTCACGGTGTTTGAATCATATCTCTGCTGTAAGTACCTTTGCCAATTTTTGGAATTGTAGGAATAATAGTTTTGAAGATTTCAACAACTTTCAGTAAAAAATTCGACAAGTCATTGCGGGCTTCCTATAGTTATTTCCGAAAAATATTCAGTTGTTTGAGAGAACATTAAATATTAACTTTATGCTAAATTTCATCTCGATACACCTTATAGTTTTTGAATTATGGCCATTCCATCAAATTTTCCTAACCTTCAAAATGTGTTCTATGGCGTAGCCATAGAAACAGTCATTGACTTTTCTCTTATGAAGTAGCTGGAAAATTGGTTGAGTAGCGATTTTATCACTTGTAATCGAAATAACAAGGAAGAAGGCTACGGCAAACCACTTCCTCAACTCTTGCCAAGAAAACTACATGGACAAAGATCAAGATGGAGAAGACTTGTCCATGAAGTCACCAGGAGTCGAAGATGACTTGATGGAACTTAACAACAACAAAGCATAACTAATAATAACAATGACATCTGTGTAGATTAAAATACTTTTTTCTGGAACTATCTAAAATAAATTGTTATTAGCATAGTCCCAGGAATAGGATAGTTTCAGGACTGAACTTTTAACTCTTTTCAGAACATTGAAACTTGCAAATACACCTTATGCTGTTTTACATAATAGTTTCTGTTTCTCAGATAAAACCTAAGACAAGAACTCCTTAAAGTCCATACATATGTAACTAATTTATATTCAAGATTAATACAGAGGTCTACACTGTAAAAAGCCTTTGACCAGTCTATAAAGACTGAGATTATGATATTCAACTTATCCAAATAATCAATGATATTTTTTATTAATTTGTATTGGATTACTGCATCAGTTATAAATATATTTCTTGTATAGCTAAATTGATTATGATATATAAACATATTTGTCAGTGAATTTATCTTTTAAGAAAGATTTTTAAGATTTTATTATTATTGAGATAATTAGTATCAGACAATAGATACATTTCTCTCCTTTCAGTTTGAAAATGAAATTATTGTGATGTGAGGATTTTTCTGGGATTCTTTCTCATTAAACAATTTATTTATAACAAAGGGCATTGCAGAATCTGGAAGCATTTCTGATAGATTCTTAATTATATTATCAATATCAGGAGTATTAAATTTAACATTTCTAATGTAATATAATATAATTTAAATATAATATTTTATTATTATTTGTATTGTAAAATTATATAAAATAAGACCATGTAAATTGTGACTAAGCTGTATAAACTTAAACAACTTACATCATAAAATAATAATAACAAGCAGTTATTTATTGTGACATTGTCATAACGTTGGGCTGCAATTTTTAATTTATTTAGTTTAAAATATATGCTCTCCACCTTAAATCAGTACTGTAGAGTCTCGACCCTGTAGATCATACTTTTCCATTAGCAATAGAGTCGTGCCAGTCATCTATCTAACTCATTTTATGGGAAAATTTTTTAATTGAAATGTGACTTCCAGTTTACATTGGAAGTTCATATATAGTTAATCAGCGCATCCTGCTCCTAAGCTTTCCATATCTGGTCTTGAATTTCATTTATCTGATCTTGTTCTTGAGATTAAGGAAAGACAGACGACAGTGGGTATTTATAAGTTTAGTTTTTTTCAAATTGCAACCCAATAATGAATTTTTAATTTTGCAATCATATATTAATTTTATAAAGTTTATACTATAATCAGGGTTACCAGAGTGGAGGATTATGAAGGGTAATTGTTTCTGAGATTTTTTTATTTGATTTCTTCTTTATCTATTTTAATTAACAACTTTATAAAGCAAAGGTATTCTATAATAGTAAATTCATTTTAATTTTTGTTATGCTGAAGTAATCACAATCTGTTTGCAACTAGATGGGTTCCTCTGGTTCATCTTTAAACCATATGCAGTCTTCACTACTTAGAACATTCTGTTTATAGGGTAGTTTGAGTTTTCGCTTGTTCTTTAGATTTGTTTATTATTCATTCTTGTGAAGATAGTATAAACAGAAACAAATTTGATTTAAAAAATGTGATTTTAGTGAGTCAGTGGTTTAGTTGATTTAAAAATTTTGTTTGCTCTCACTGAGACAAAATTAAATTTTGCAGTTGTTTTTTGACTGTAGTAATAAAATCATTTATGTAATGTGACATTATGTTTATAATTGTAACTTCTATATATATAGAATTATAAATAAATTTATAATATATTTTTAGCAAAAGCTTTTAATACTTGTATTTATATAATATTTATATTTATATAAAGTATTAAAAGCTTTTGTTAAAAATATAAGTAAATGATCTCTCTCAATTCTGTATGCTTATTTACTTTTCAGTCTAAAAAATTCTTAAAATCTAATGTTATAAAAAAATTTTTTATATTTTCAAAGTAACAATGATCACACTTGTTTAAATCAAGGATGAGCAACACGCGGCCTGCGGCCACTTGCGGCCCGTTAAACATGTTTATGCGGCCCGCCAAGCATTTTTTAAATTGAATTTATTTTATCGACTTTCTCCCATCAATATATTGTTATAAAATTAATTATAATAAAATGGTAGTACATACTAAACCGAAACAATTTTTTGTGATGAGTTACTCACTTGTCAGCGATTTGTTCAAACATGCAATATGAACGCGCCGCGTCTGTGCTTGTTTGTGTTTGCTTCTGTTTGCTTCTGTCACACAATCAGTCAGACTGGTAAGCTGTTAACTAGCAATTTTAGCAATTCTTGTGTTTCTTGAAAGGCGTGAGTGCAATACTATTGTCAAAAAGGTAGTATTAGAGTTTTTTATTCAAAATTAAGTTTTCCTATAAATTTTTTTAACTTTCAAATTTTTAATCCATAATAGCATGTCGGAAAAGCAAACAAAAAAACGGAAGGTTGCGGATGAGCACAGGCATTCCCAAGAAAAGTGGAAATTTGATTATTTTTTCACTTTCTTGAAGATAAAGCTGTATGCTTAATATGCTCAGAGACTGTGTTGACATTAAAAGAATATAACATAAAAAGGCATTATGATACAAAACCTGAACAACAATATAAAAACTTAACAGGACAACTCCGGATAGATAAGTTTAATCAAATGGAGAAAAACTTGGGAAAACAACAGGCTATTTTTAAAAATCAAGCTATTTTATCAAATACGGCAGTAAAGGCTAGTTTTGTTGTCAGTCAAATACTGGCAAAAAAATGAAACCCTTTGC